CCCCAAAACCCCAAAACCCCAAAACCCCAAAACCCCAAAACCCCTGTAGTTCTATCATTGCGATAGTTGTCAAAGGATATAGAAGAAATGTAAACAATTAAAGATTTAAGATATTTCACTGGATGAATAAAGTTTCTTTTTGTGAGGGCTTGAGAATATCTGCATAGTCACTAACCCATTTTTATATAAGAGCTGTGAAACTTGTTCTAGCATCAGTAACATCCTAAGGATCATCCTTGTTAGGGGCTCTCAAATCAAGATGATGAGCACCTCCCTTAATCAATCTGATCAAGATATCCTTGTTATCCTTGAGAGTTCCCTCTGGCACACCACCAGCTCTCCATGGATCAAGATCACCATTGCTGAAGATTATGTTTGAAACATGGGCAAAGTCTTTGTTAATGTTTCTGCCTCCAAATGTATCCAATATGTAGTCAAATTAAGGAACAAGTCCCTTTTAAGCGCAGTCAGTGAAAATTTGATCTGGGTCATATGGCTAGGGCAAGAACATATCAGTCTTACCACTCTGTGAAATTGGCATAACAAATTCTTAGCAAGTTTAATAATCCCAACCCTAGCTATCAAGAGCACCTTGTTGGCTTCCTCCAGTAAGATTAGTGCATTTAGTTTAGCCAGAAGAGTTTGTAAATACTAAAAATATTTTGGCAAGTGAGTTAATGTAATCGAGATCAGAGACTGGAACTCCTGCAGCAGTGCAAGCAGCTTTGACTGGATTTGCTGGCAATGGTGCTTCGAATCCAGTTGGATATGGGTAATTAACCATTGCCATGGTACCGAGAGCATCTTGGATGGAATCAAGTAATAGCTGTACTTAATCAGAGGATGAAGGTTGACCATCACAAGTATTGAAGGCATTCTTGATATCTTAGTAATGAGTATTGTCTCCCTTATATGAATTCAAAAGTTAAAGACCCTTCTTAACAACGCTACTGCAATCGAATCCTGGGATAACATCTCTATAAGTTCTTGTAACAAGTTCATTGAATGCATATGGAGATACAGTTCCTGGGAAGAAGAGAATTGGGGCACTAGCTGCATGAGCACCTTGAATAATATGTGGGTATTTCATTCTAATCCAAGAAGCTAACATTCCTCCATATGAGCCACCAAAAGCAATAACAGCGCTATTCTTGTATTTATCCTGAGACTTGATTGATTATATCAGCTTAACATAGTCCATCATTGCTTATTCAACAGTCAGGAACTTAACATTTTCTGGTTTGAAGCTATCAACTCCCATAGGTTTTGAAGATCCATAATATCTGTGTTCACCGAACAAAACTACAGCATTCATTTGCTGAGCTAAAAAGTCAGTGACATAGCCAGAATTATCCCAGAAACTCGTCACATCACCCTCATTGCCACAGTAAAAGAGTATTGGGGCATTGTTTCCCTTAACATTTGATTCATCAATCAAATATCTAAGCTTGAAAGTTGTGGAGACTCCATTTGTTACGAAATGATCAAGATCAACATCGAAGAAAGAGTCAGCTGGACGATTAGATGATTATAAAAGTCTTTACTACTCTTTATATGCTTGGGTTTCATGGGTTTAGAAACGCTTATTTTTCATTAAGCCTGCCACATAATCAGATTAAATAGACACAAGTCCAAAGAGAGCTAAGAATTGATATCCTAATTGCTTCATTATAATAATTTATATAATATATTTGATCTTGGCATATCTCATTTGGTATTCCAGTCTTACGGGGTTTTGGGGTTTTGGGG